AAATCTAGTGGCTTATCGTCGACCAGCACAGGGATATCCAACTTTGTAGGAACCCAGTTGACGAGCTCAAACCGACGAGCATTGACCACCAATTCCCGAGGCAATGTTTTGAAAGACGACTGCTTCGAAAAGCCACTTTGGCTGCCACAAGCAGGACATGTAAGCTCAACGATCTCTGCCGAAGTAAAGATGTCTAGACACTCTGACAAATCCACAGACTCATATTTCTTTCCTGTTTCGTCAGAAGTGGTAGCAGGACGTGCGGGAACAGCAAGCGAAATGTTATCTTGCTCATCCAATTTGTAGCGGACTTTCTTGCAATGCAAACACTGAAGACGCTGCTCAACTTGGAAGCGAAAGTCCTGTACCGGGTTAATCTGCGGACCGGTGTGCTTCGATAGGCTGACCGACTTGAATAGATGAAGAAGGAATTCAAATGCATCTTGCTGTCTCATGGTTGCGAACTCCTCATGACCTTGGCCAATAAGATACTTGAACATTGTTGGTGCCAAACCTTTCTGATGAGCGACTTCTGGGATGTCCGCGGACAACATAGCACGAGAATCAGGTTGAGAGTACCGGCCTGAGAGTAGACCGTCGGCAAGCTTTTGCAATTGTGTTTCAAGGTCCTGTGCTGGTGCTTGGCATAGTGGTGGTTCTTCCGACAGCTGATAGTATCGCTCACGAAATCCAGCCACAGAAAATATGCATTGCATGATACTGGAGAGATAGCAGCTGTTTCCGAGGTTCGCGAGGCCTGTAAACGCAGGCCCGAAGACTGGGGCCAGCTCCCGGCCATCCTCGGTCGTCATGGAAAATTCCCATTTCATATTATGCTCGACCTGCATCTCCATCAGACTCTTCTCTGTCTTCTCACGTCCAGCCAAGTAGATTCCCCAGTGCGCAAGGTGGGTCGTCAGTTCTGGGTCTACTCTTTCTTCGTTGCACTTATAGCAGTAGACATCAGCGGAGCCTTCTGCTGTGATGGAGCCGAGCTTGACAGCCACAGCATGTGATGTTGAGTCTGCGTGAGTAAGCCCATGTGAGTTTCCCTTGCTTCCACCGAATTGACTTCGCCCACAACCCTTGTTCCCACATTCCAGACACAGCCAGAGGTTCTCGCCCATGTCACACTCCGAGCAATGGTTTAAATCTGCAACTTCGTTAGCACGGGCCCCAGTTGAGTATTGCAGGGAATCAATACCAGTCGACGCGGCTTGCGTGTTGTCCTGTTGAACCAGGCAGAGTGTATGCTCGCAGGGAACAAACTCTTGCTCCCAGGCTTTGATTTCTTCCTTTTTTGAGAAAGTCATTGCGGTCATAACACCTTCGATGACAGCAGGAAGCTTGCCACTGGCTTTGTCCACATTGTCCTGAGAGCATGAATAGCACACCACTGACGTAGCAATGTCATATCTATCCTCTTCTGTTTCAGCTGCGATGGAAAGTTTTGAAATCTTCGGCGGAGGCTCGTCGCGCTATAAATCAGAGGTGTGAGAATCTTTGGTCATAAGCTCAGGAAGTGTTTGGAGGCTGTACCTGCACTTTCTTGGGGGTCCTTCGAATGTTCAAAGCCAGCGAATGGCCAAATCTTTTGTAATGAAGCAGGGCATGGTCTCTGTTTCCAGCACATCCACCATTGAAGCAATGGAGACAGACATTGAGACCGGCATCATCGTCCTTGCAAGATCAGAGTCAGACCAGATGTGGAGTAGTACTAGGGACCAAGGTGGCTGGCATACAATAGAATCAAAGCACTGAGTGCAATCTTCTCGATAAACAGCCTGGGAAGATCCTGGTGGATTCAGATCTATAAAGGAGTGTGGTATATTAGCTTCATTTGTCCTTCGATTATCAAGGTGATGTCACGAACCCGCAGCACCGGTATGGACACAAGAGGCCATATCCAGAGAGGAGATCTCGGGTGATTCAACGAAGTGTCAATAAAGACTTCTTGGCTTTAACAGAGACTTCAGAAGGTGTGACAGTATCCCAGTGAAAGCAAAGATGAGAAAAGAGGGAATATCAGATACCGCAGATCAAGCCAAAGCTACGATGCGTGGGGTTGCTCCTTCCTCACCGCCTGCACGTGCTGTTATCAATGTTGTCCTGAGGCATCAAGTCATGTGGTGGGGGGCGGGGGCGTTGTGCCACTTAACGCGTTATTTTTCTCAACACGCGTTCCAACCTTGTCCTACCACTTTGCAACTTGATTTTGGGACTTGCTCTGTCAAGTTCAGTCTTCTTTCCTTCGCTTCTTCTTCTTTTTGTTCCTCTTTTTATTTTCCCGATTCGCCCCTTCACTCCGTCTTTTTTAGTCTTTCCCCAATATTCTTGTCAAGACTGTCAATTATTTGAATTTGAAGTCATGGCTTCCGAGGCAGCATCCCAAGTCACCATTGGGGCTCTAAGGTTGGTATCCATCTGATACAAAGATTTTGTATGGCGATATATATGTTAATCGTGTGTCTAACAGTGCCATCTTTGATGAAACCAAACCCCAAGTACGAGAGCCGATTGTTCAATGCGTTCAGATCAAGGCATTGCCAGCTCAGCCAGGCCAACCAGAACGTTACCGGGCTGTTTTCAGTGATATTGCAAACTATGTTCAAACCATGCTTGCTACTCGTATGTGTTGTCCTGTCGGTACTCTTTGTAACTTATCGGGCTTGCTGACCGCTTTAAGAAGCCAACTCGGTGGTGACAGATGGATCTCTCCGGAAGGGTTCTTTCGTGCGACTCAAGTCATTTCAATCAAACTCTGTCAAGGGCAAGAAGTATGTGAGGCAATTCTATCTATTTTGATTGTGCTAATTATCAAAAGAATCCTCATCATCTTGGACCTTGAAGTTCTAAAGGAACTGGGCGAGGCTGACAAAATTGGTGAACCCAAACCACTCGAAGTCAAAGCTGAGGAAGAAGAAGGGGGTCAACCGACAACAATATCCAGCAATGGGTTTTACGGCTCCAAGATGGAGGGTGCACAGGCTCAGCCAAATAGCCGAGCCCAGCCAATGTCTGCCCCTATGTCTACTTCCTCCGCCCATGCCACGATCTACCCGATTGAAGCCATCTCCCCGTATTCTAACAAATGGACGATGAAAGCGCGATGCACGAGCAAGTCCAGTATTAAAACATGGCACAACAAGAATGGTGAAGGTAAACTGTTCAGTGTGAATTTACTGGACGACAGTGGTGAAATTCGTGCAACCGGTTTCAATGAACAGTGTGACATGCTCTATGAACTCTTCCAGGAGGGCAGTGTTTATTACATTTCGAGCCCCTGTCGGGTCCAAATCGCCAAGAAACAGTTCACAAATCTCAACAACGATTATGAACTCACATTTGAGAGAGATACCATCGTTGAGAAGGTAACATCTCTTTCTTGATGAACCAAATGCGTCGCTCACATTTATAATAGGCCGAGGAGCAAAATGATGTCCCTCAGATTCGATTCAACTTCACCACCGTTGCTGATTTGCAGACTGTTGAAAAGGACACGACCACTGATGTCATTGGCGTGCTGAAGGATGTTGGGGAGACATCCCAGATTACATCAAAAAGCACCGGCAAACCCTATGACAAACGTGAGCTTACGCTGGTCGATAACACAGGATTTTCTGTCCGCTTGACAATTTGGGGTGCATCTGCAAACAATTTTAGTGTGGCGCCCGAGTCTGTCGTTGCCTTCAAGGGAGTCAAGGTTTCTGACTTTGGCGGAAGAAGTCTGAGTCTTCTGAGTTCGGGCTCAATGACCGTTGACCCTGACATCGGGGAGGCTCACCGACTCAGAGGTTGGTATGATGCTCAAGGCAGGTCGGAGAACTTCACATCCCATGCTTCATTGTCAAATGCGACCAACTCCACGGGCAAAAAGGATCGGTTCAAAACCGTTGCACAAGTTCGCGAAGAGCAGCTTGGCATGTCTGAAACTCCTGATTACTTCTCATTGAAGGCCACGGTGATCTACATCAAGCAGGATTCCACCTGGTGCTATCCTGCCTGCCTTTCTGAAAACTGCAACAAGAAGGTAACAGAACTTGATCCAGGACAGTGGCGGTGCGAAATGTGTGAAAAGACCCACCCCAAGCCAGACTACCGCTTCATCATGCCTATTAGTGTCAGCGACCATACTGGCCAGCTTTGGCTCAGCTGTTTTGACGACACTGGAAGAAACATCATGGGCACATCTGCTGACGAGCTGATGCAACTTCGCGAAGACGATCCAGGTGCTTTTGGTGAAGTCTTCCAGGGAGCCAATTGCCAAACCTGGAACTTCAGGTGCAAAGCCAAGATAGACAATTTCGGCGACCAGCAGCGGTAAGAATGATGGACTGACGATAATCCTCATACTGTGAACATCATGCTAATTGTGCCATCCAGTGTGCGATATCAGGTCTCATCGTCTCAGGCAATCAATTACTCGGATGAAGCCTCTCGCCTTGCCGATATCATTGACTCCTACAGCATTGAGTAAGTATAGGCAAAGTGAGCAAATATTTTTGTCCAGCTTTGTACTAGTTTTACTATTCCCACATGTGTTCAGAGCCTTTTCATCAATGTTCATGTGTACTTTTATGCTGCTTGAAGCTTACCATGATTATCTAATTCGCACTTCTCACCTCGACATTTGCTGTTTCTCTTTTATTTAGTACTTTTAAAAAACATGACTAGTGATTTTCACTATCATCCACTCATTTATGAATATGGCTATCACTCCATCTGGACAGGGCATCACTTCAGGGGTTCTATAGTTACACTATGTAACTATATATATAATGTACTCTGTACTCCGTATGTATACATAGATATAGGGTTGCTATGAGGCGGTAAGCCAACAAGGGCGGAAATTCATGGCAATACTCTATTGCCTTGGCCCTTTTTTTTTTTTTTTTCTTCCTGTTTTTCTGCTGGAACCGGCAGGGAATTCAGTCTCGTGCTTCTCTTTATCTTTTGAATCCAATAATATTTTGTTATATCCTCTTCCTAGAATACTCATCATGGGTAAGCGAAGCCATCTCGAGCCAACTGAGCAGCGACCGAAGAAAAAGTCCAAGTCCGAGAAGCCCGCAAAAGCTTCTAAAGATAAGCAGGAAAATGGAGATGAGAACACTGCATCTTATTCTGATGCATCTGCTCTATCCGAGATCCCTCAGTCGGACATTGACAGTTTTTTGACCGAGAACGTGATTAAAATCTCTGATCCCTCCTCACCCGACGCCTCCCAATTCCGCCCAATCCTTTCGTTTGATCACCTACCTAAATGTGATGTTGGTCTGTACACTCAATTGAAGTCTTTCCCTGCGCCAACGCCGATTCAGTCCACTACGTGGCCGCTTCTTTTGCTGGCCGTGATGTGATTGGTATCGCAGAGACTGGAAGTGGCAAGACCCTGGGTTTTGGCTTGCCGTGTCTGAAGAAATTGATTGACTCCAAGTCAAGCAAGCCTTGTCAACCCAAGGCAGTGGTTATTTCACCAACGCGAGAGCTTGCAATGCAGATTTATGACCAGCTTGTTAAATTCGGCGGCACTGAGAAGACTCAGGTGACATGCATTTATGGAGGTGTGGGCAAAGACGACCAGCGTCGGGCTCTCCAAAAGGCCGCCATTGTGGTTGCCACCCCTGGCCGTCTCAAGGATCTCCAGAATGATGGTTCGATTGATCTTGGAAAGGTCAACTACCTCGTCTTGGATGAGGCAGATCGCATGCTTGACAAAGGATTTGAGCAGGATATCAAGGACATCGTCAAGCCAATGCCCGTCTCAAGGAGACAGACTGTCATGTTTACCGCAACATGGCCCCGGTCGGTTCGAGATCTCGCTGCAACCTTTATGAAGACCCCGGTAACTGTTACCATTGGCGGAGACCCATCTGCGGATCCCCGAGCCAACACAAGGATCAAGCAAGTCATCGAGGTTGTTGATGGCAGAGACAAGGAGGGCCGACTCGTGCAACTGCTCACTAAATCTCAGCGTGGTCATCAAACGCCCGAGAAAGTCCTGGTTTTCTGTCTATACAAGAAGGAGGCTATGCGCATTGAGAATCTCATCAGAAACAAGGGATTCTCAGTCGCCGGTATTCACGGTGATTTGAACCAATCAGATAGATTCCGAAATCTTGATGCTTTCAAGAAAGGCAGTGCTACCGTTCTTGTCGCAACCGATGTGGCAGCGCGTGGCCTTGATATCCCGAACGTGAAACTGGTGATTAATGTCACCTTCCCTCTTACTGTTGAGGACTACGTGCACCGGATTGGAAGAACTGGACGTGCTGGAGCTGAGGGCCTTGCCATCACTATGTTTACTGAAACTGACAAGGGACTGTCCGGCGGGTATGTTACTCATATTTCTAATATCATTGACAGAAATCATCAGGGCAATGCTAACTGTGAATAGATTGATCAATGTTCTCAAGGCAGCTAAGCAAGATGTGCCAGAATCTCTCTTGAAGTTTGGCACAACAGTCAAGAAGAAGCAGCACGATGTGTACGGTGCCTTTTACAAGGACGTTGATATGGACAAGACAGCGACAAAGATCACATTTGACGATTAATTAAGCTCATTCCGACTTGGTATCTTTGCTGGAGGATCTGGAGGATAACATGTGCCGAAGCCTTGTCAATTGACCCATCAAATATTCCCTTTCTATATAGACTCTATTGTTTTTTTGTCGGTTAGGCGTTAAGAACAAATCAACATCAGATCAGATCAGATCAGTACTCACATAAGGAGAGCATAGCTGCCACTGAAGGCGCATGCTTTGATCATTCCCAATTTCAGGCCAAATCCGCGGCCCAAGAACAAGCTCGCCAGAGCACATAGAATGAAGCTAGCAGGTCGAATGGCCACTTCACTCGTGTACAGGCCACATCCATTTCGATGGAGGTACGATTTGATAAAACTGTAACTCCAAAGGGTTCGAACCACCATGTTCACAATGTTGGCCAGGACCAATCCATACGCACCCAAGTTCCCTACTTCTAGGAACATATAGGCTGCCAGGGCATAACAGGCGGAAAAGACACCCATCCACGCCGTTTGCTTCCTTATCTGTTCCGAATTTGCTGCAGATGACACGAACGCTTCGGTGATCCCATTAAATGCCAAAAATGGAATGTAGTAGCAATAGACGGAGAGCAGGTCCCCGACTTGGGGGAAGCCCATTGACGGCCTCCCAAGATATGCAACAATTGAGGGACCATCACTGGGCCCAACGGAAATATCAAGACTGTCAATAACTGGTACGCGCGTAGAATATCTACTAGGTGATCTCTGGTAGTGCGGATATGGATATTCTTCAGCTTCCCATCCTCATCGGGGCTCAGTAGGGCTGAGAATAAGTTCCGGCTGCTCTCCTCCAACGGCTGGAAGATGATCCGTGCAATGAGCCCACCGTAGTTTGACGCAAGGGAATATATGCCCTGATCTTCTAGTCCTGAAAGGGCTGCGAGCATCATAGTATCACCCTGCGTGAGCAAATGCTTCACTAGAGATTGGAAAAAGACATTCGCAGCAAGCGTCGTTAACTGCCGTGAGAACCGTCCCAGAAAGTAGTTAGAGGGGTCCCTATAAATTGTTACCATGTCATTCTTCGTGCTATAGCTTGGATGAGATAGGGCCATCTTACCTGGATTGTATACGTGTCAATAGGAAAGAGAACCGGGTTGAGTTGGTTCCTCTGAGTAGGGCTAGTGAGTAGCCACAAATGAGGGCCAGCGAGTAACTGAGGTGACCAAGAGCAAATGGTAGCACACCAAGGTCATAGTTGACTTGAGAAGCATATATAAATGCAAAGGATGTTACTGCACTTCTCAGAAATGCCGCTGGCATTTCAACAGCAGCGCGTTTTTCATAGAGCATATGTTGCTGCACCACCGAGAAAAAGGGCTCGATACTGAGTTCCATGAGAGAAGCAGCCCCGGTCAAGATCACACTGTGGTAGAAGAAGGCAGTCTTTGATGCTTCCTCTGGGACAAAGCGCTGGTAAAGCATAGTGAACAAAAGACTGGAAGGAATCCCAAGGGCGAGGCTCAAGTAGGACACGTTCACCACTGCTTGAGATGCCACAGAGTGCGAATCCGGTGCTACAGCATCTGCTTCAAGGGAAGGCTTTTTGTCGTCAGGCGGAGATGGAATAGGCTGCCTTTGGATGGCCATCCGAATACTTTCCCTCGAGAAATACAGGATTGAAACCTGGAAGAGCTCCAGTTGTGCTGCTATTCCCAGCACGACCGGTGAAAGGGTGCGCAAAATTAATTGGTTCGAGGCAAAGGTAAAGATCCTGGACGCTAATTGAATCAAGATCAAAAAGCTTGTTCCTGTGGCTGACGACGCCAGAATCTTGCCCATACGGGCATCGTCAGGTTTTGACATGCCCGTGATTCAACGCGGATATTACAGTGCGTGCAATGAGGTTTGCTCAGATCAAGGAAATCAACAAGACTTCAAGCCGACCTCGGGAGGGAAGGGGTTGTAAATGAAAGGATGTGAACACCTATAGGTGGGGCCTACTCTAGGGCCTGACGTTTTGGCTTCGGCCTTTTGGGGAATGGGAAATATTTGCCAGATGAAATCATGAACTGTCTTAAGCTCATGAAATACATATAAAAGGCATACCATATGGATATCTACAAATAAATCTATATAATCTACTTAGAATTCCACTTTGCCCCTGGGCTGGGATACTTGCTTACCTGCTAGCACCTGAGTTCCCGCCCCCCGGGCCCGGAGCGGCTACTTACTTCTAGGGCTAGGTATGGTTAGCTATGGCTATAGGTTAATTGTGAAGTTTATGAAGTTTATTGTAAAAGAACCCGTCATGTCTTTGGTATGCAAAATTTTCATGGCAAAGGGAAGGAGGCACTAGGGTCAAAATCCGCAAAGCACCGTGCTTCCTCCAAGTGGTCCTGATCCATGTCAACTTCTGTTGCGTCATATACAGGAAGACCTGGAGAGACATAGCGACTGGGATGTCAGTGATCGGTTGTAGATCAATATGTTTCCAGGTGTTGCCGTCCTCGGGCTGTTGATCAAGTAGGCTCTTGAACGCTCTAGAACGGAGGCAGATAGAATGGATAGCCACCATTCTTGGTTTTGAAGACACTGAGAAGGAAGCTGTATGTTGCAAAAAGAACAGTTGCCCAGATCAAGACGGCCAGCTGTTGACCCTTGACATCTTCCATTCGGGGAACCTTCAGTGCGAGTGCGATCGTAGCAAAGGAGAGAACAGCGTCTGTGCGAGCAAAACGTTAACATAGGAACTCGGCATGGGAATGACGCTCAATATCATGAGCCTTACGATTATCACTTACAGATGGCAGCCACAATTTGAGTCTCCATCCCAAACTGGTTCTGGAACCCACCGGCAAAATAGCTAATGCCACCTTGGCCATCACCAGCAACATATGGGACCTTTCGAATATGGTTGAACATTTGACCACTTGTGAACAGAAGAATAGCGATAAGGCTGATTGCAGCCCAAAGGTTTCGGTTCTGGACAATTGGCAGCAGGTAGGGAGATAGGACCGCAATTGCAGTCACAACTGCCATCAGAATTGTGATCGCTGATACAATCCGCATGTAGTTGATGGGTCGGACTAGTTGAGGTTTGAGGCCTTCGGGCAAATGACGTCCAATCCAAGAGTAGACCTGGTCGGCTGAGATCGGGCTGGTTGGGATTGATATGTTAGTGATATAGGGGCTGGGCGCAAGAGCCTTGGTAGGAAAACATACCCTGTGAAATCAAACCGGAGGGGATTCCCTTCAACCTTGGCAAAGGGGCCGATGGTAGGAGGGAAGACAAGGAGTACAGGTGCAGTTTGAAGCATGAGCTGCTGAGGTTAGTTGCATATCATACAGTTCAGTCTTGAGTAAGAATGCCCTACCTTTTGGAAAACGGCCTTGCCATTATCAAAGTCGAGTGTTCCAAAGACTACCTTGAGGTCATCAGGCTTGGTGCCCTTGGTCCAGCTTCGGGCGATCAGGTCCCATTCAGATTCAAAGTCGCGGCATAGGAGGCAGCCAAAGCGAGGATCCGTGGCCGTCAGGATAACCACAGCATAGTAATCTCGAGGTGTCGAGGTGAGGTCTTCATATGATGCACTGTCTAGATCAACAGGTCCCGAACGAGACAGGGATTGATATCTTGCGAACTTGTCCGGTGTTGAGCTCGCAGACAGGACACCGGACACGACCGAGAAAATGAGAAAAATGGCCGTCCAGAGCTTCATTTTGGCATGACAAGGAGCTGGACAGCTTTAAAGAAGTTAGTTATAAAGTGCAATTGATTGAAAAACTATCAATCAGTTGCAATTGAAGATGTTTGAACACGTTGAGTGATAAAGTCCAGGTGTCCACTATCAACGTAATCGGGCGGGCATACCTAACTAGGTATCGGCTTACTTACGTAACATCGGGGATCCGACACCAAAACACCGGCGCGTCTTCCTTTGTGACGATTTATATCATACTTTGAACAAGCATTGGATATAAAACAACATATCTTACCTACGTATTTATTTTGCTCTGCACAGGTATTATTTAATTCATAGGCCCTTCCGTTCCATTTTCTTATATCGAACTGTCTTTTTCTGGACACTGTCGTCATGGCAATGGCCGAAGACGCATCCGCCTTAGATGTATGTGGCTTCCTTGGGTTGATGGGAATCTGCTCAAGATGCTAATTTGATTATGCAGTTTGAAATGTCCATGAGGACTATGCGTCTGGAGAAGGAGTATGAGAAGACTCTTTCGGATTCCGCTCGTCTTCTGGATGGCGAGAGGGACCGCGTACGACGCATGGAGCTCTTGCTCTTGAAATTCGAGAACGAAGCTCTGCGATCACAGTTGGAGGAAGCAAATGGGCATCTTTTGGGATTCACAAGTGCTGATTCAGAGGCATGTGCTCAACTTCAGGAGGCTTGCCAGGAAATTGATCATTTGGAGCTTCAAGCACAGGCATCCTCGAGTGAGATTAACCGACTCAAAGTAAGTCTCAACTCAATCTGGGGCCTGGTTTTATAATCCGTTATGTTGACAGCAACAGGAAGAACTCTCGGCCCAGAAAAATAATTCGACCAGTTACAATACTGTCCTTGCAGAGAAACTTCATCTCTCCAGAGATCTTTCAACTCTACAATCAGAACTTGAGCGGCTCAGAGCGCAAAACGCATCATATCAAACCATCATTTCCGAGAAACATGAGATGGAACGGCAAATAAACTCTCTAGAGCTTCAACTTGACAATGAAAAACATGCCCATGAACGTACTCAGGCCAAGGGATCGCAGCAAATGAAAGAGATTACCCAGCTCTCTGCTCGAGTTGAAGAGTTGCGGAATGAGCTAGCGGGAGAATTGCGAGCCAAACAGCAGCAGGAACGGGACTACAACCATCAGAACTCGGCATGGGCCAATCAGCGGGCGACGTTTGAAGGAAAGATTGATTCGCTCAAACAACAATTGCGGTCAGCCAAGGACAAGCTCCAGGAAGCCCAAATTGAAATTCAGCAGCGACGCAGCCTCAAATCACACGCAGAAAATGACTCTGAATCCGGTTCTCGGACAGTCCCGCTTCAGCGCCCTGGCCCGAGTGGCCATGCCGGCGTGACGATTGCAACCCCTGGGGCTGTTCGTGTACAAGAGAAACTGAAGAGGGATTCAGCCGTGCCTGGTGATAAGTCGGCGTTTTCCATCACTCCATTCTTGAACCGCACGGGGGCACCTTCGGATTCACCAATGAGCTCAGTTGGAGACGAAGACGAGATTATTGGAGATACCGATACCCCTCCTGGACTACTCGGCAAGCAGAGCACTTTTGGCGAACCAAAGCGTATCGGTTCTGCCCTCCGGCGCCAACTATCTCCGACAGAAGACCGCATGCCAATCACAAAATCCACCAAACCAGGGGCACGTGATGGCGCAATACCTGTGTTAGCACCGGAAAACGAGGTCAAGAAACCAACCCATCGCTTAGATCGCAGAGTGCCACCCACCGAGACCGATGAATTACATGAGCAGTTTGAGCATGAACAGGCCAAGCCGAAAAAACGCAAACTTGGTGGTCAGCGTGATCGAAGTTTGTTCGAGGAGGAGGATGAAGAAGAGCCTCACCCCAAGAAATTCGGGCGAAAACTTGCAGTAGGAAATGGTCGGACTTCAACGCTGGGGAGTAAAACACAACCTAGTACCACTAGTTTACCACGGGCGCTCGGTCTTGGGGCAGCACCCATGGGATTTTCTCCATTAAAAAAAGACCGCAGACGATTTTAAATGTAACAGAAGATGCAGCAATTCATTTTTATTGGCACAGACTCTATACGGTGCATTTAATATGTACATACATGTGGGCATGTAGATCACGGATGCTTCCACTGGTTATGCCGCTAAGGGCCGTCCGACTTGAGGGTTGGGCGGTCATTTCTGTTTTGCCGGCAGAAAATAAAAAGCTTCTCCATGCTCTCAGGACTCTAATTATTTCCCCTGATATTATTCAATGCGCATTATGTTTGCTTTACATTCAACTCGATTTTGGCGGAATGTGTGTCATCAACAGGCAATTTGTCAAGCAAGACATGCATCATCCAAGCGCTGGCAAGCCCGGCAACAAAAGGATCCGTTCACCAGAGAGGCAGCTGTCCAAGGGCTGAAAAGCCGTGCTGCTTTCAAATTGCTGCAGGTAATCCAGCACCGACATTACTCTATTTTCTGGGGTTGATCTGACACACTGGTACATGTGGTTAGATTGATGAGAAATATCGAATCTTCAAGGGTGGGCAGACAGTTGTTGACTTGGTATGCTAGTCGTTCAACCTGAATTCGGACCATAGTTTAATTCGTTGCATTTAGGGTTATGCTCCGGGATCGTGGTCTCAGGTGTGTTGAACATTCTTCTCTTGCATTTGACTTATCTACCCCCTCCCCGTTGCTGTCAAATGGGCCGTAATTAACGGCCAGAGAAGGTTGCTGCAAGCCGTACCCAACCGCATGGTCGAGTCCTCGGTGTCGATATCATCCCAGCCCAGCCACCGAAAGGAGTGTCTACAATCCAGGGCAATTTCCTCGCACCCGAAATCCAAACATACATCCGAGACTTTCTCCGCAGTCCAGACAGGGGCAGACCGCGACAAGCCGGCTTTCTGGACGATTCCAGTGTCAGTCTATTGGAGCCGAATCCGGATACTGAACGCACTACCGAGGCCGAGAAGATGGATATAAGGGGTGATAAAATACTTGAAAGAACGGTAGATGTGGTTCTTAGCGATATGTCTGCTCCCTGGCAACAGACCTCCGGTTTCTGGAAACGAAGTCTAAGTGCTCCTTATAACAGGATGATGAACACCAGCGGTGTCAGTTTCAGAGATCATGCTGGAAGCATGGTATGAACTCCTATTACTCAATTGATGAGTGTGAAACCCTTCTGACTTTACGCAGGATCTCTGCCACGCGGCTTTGCGCTTCAGTTCGGATGTTTTGAAGGCAGGCGGTCATTTCGTCTGCAAATTCTACCAAGGCGCCGAAGACAAAGAACTGGAGCTGCAGCTGAAGGAATTATTCAAAAAGGTTCATCGTCTGAAACCTGAATCATCTCGCAGTGTATGATTTGCCTTGTCCAATTTATACACACCCACCGACTAAAGCAATTGGCAGGAATCCAAGGAGGCCTTTTTCGTTGGCCTGGAGCGAAAATCGTGAGGCTAAAGCTATTTCGGACTTACATGTCGGCAGACCACAGCGTAGCCGAAGAGCCGAACCATGCTGTCTGTCTAAAGGATCTCGATCTCCTCATTGTCAGATGCCTCATCCCAGTCAATATCGGCTAGTGCTGCTTCCGCCTTCTCATGAACCTTCCTCTGTGTCAGTTTGGGATCGAGTCGTTTTATAGGCATTAACTGACCTCTTTCAGTCCACTCAATTCTTCGACATAGCCATGTTCATTCAAGGCTTTTCGCACGAACTCCCAACCCTGCTCGCGGTATGCACTGACAACTTTATCCGAGCATGCACTGCAGCTCGGATAACTTTTGCCAGTGACAGACAAGTTCTCGAAATTGGAGAGAAATCCTCGTATTTGATGGGGCACAATGCCTAAGGGATGATCATCACGCTCAGCATTGCGGGCTATGGGGGCCGGTGCGGCAGCGCCTTGTGGGTGCTGAAGGAGTGACACAAAAAGCTCCACCAGAAGTGCAGAGGCTATAGGAGCCACCCCAGGGCGGGTCACCGTACACTGCTGGTCGAGAGTTTGATCTTTGATAGACTATCCCGCAGTCAGTTCTGTATCAAGCAGGTCCTTCGTTTGGATAATCTTACATTAGCTGGTGCTACCACATCGTTGCAGAAATAGCACCCAAGCTCAGCTGGATTTTCATCCGCCATGATACCATGGCGCATCACCACGAAGGAATCAAACCCTAGGGCTGCATTCATCACGATTTTCCCTGCCGCCTTGCCCATCACCGTGGGCAGCCATCGTGATTCTCGGGTATCCATAAGGAGGAAGATAGCATCATGTTCATCAATCAGTGTTTTGAGACGATCGAAATCGGCCCTTGTCACCTCCTCGTCCACAATAGGATGGCCCGCCATAGGCACTGATAGTGCATGACCTGTAGTCTCTACTCCCGGGTAAATTTGAGTTAGGGCTTCGGATGCCCGATGTGCTTTTCGGACGCCACCGTTCAAGCAGTCTTCAAAATTGAATAGTGGTTGCCGAACAGGGTTAGAAAATGAAACGGTCCCGTTGTCGACGAAAGTGATTTTCTTCACGCCCCAGCCCTATATAGTCGAAGATTAGAACAATTGTTTTCGAACGCGGAAGTTGACGTCCACATACCAGCAGATTCCGGGAGACGTAGCTACCTAATGTACCAGCTCCTAGCAAGAGACATTTCGTGTGTTTGATTTTTTCAAGATCGAGCGTCGGGCTGATACGCCATTTGATAAGTTTGAGGTTGAGATCGACGGACTGGTCTGCCAATCTTTAGGAGAAAATTAGCTTCTTTGATCAGGTCTTCGGGTTGGATATGTCCAAATTAACGCCATACCTCTTGGGATCCATGTACTCTGTAAGGTTGACGATTCTCCCGGCCAATTTCCCAGTCGAGTTACGTTCCCAGCCGGTCACCTTTGGCAACGGCAACCACCCTTGGCTTTGCAGTGATTTCGAGGTCTGGTGCTCTTGTTTTGAACTTGACTCCAGCCGAATTACTGTACTGCGCCCCTGATCACGCTTCGCGTGCACGTCGCGATAGCGTATCAATTGCACCTGTTCGATGCCCCATCGCTGCTTTATCAGAACGAGCAGGTTTCGTAACATCCACCCTGGGGCCTGTTCATAATTTGATGGATCCGAGAAACAGAAATAGCGGTCTTCAGCAGCGACATCCTTGAAAAACCCATTTTCATATTCGGAAAGTGACGCTATCTGCCAGTTGCTATTTGATGTATCGTCTTGTTGGGCATTCTTCGTCTCGGAATCGCCGGGAGATGCATTATTGGAACGCTGTTTGGCTTTTCGAGCCAAAAAAAAACCTCGTTGTCGGTGATCCACAATATATGACCATGTTTGCACCGCTTCCACTAAGGTAGTGCTCTCATGTGGAGATAAGTGTGTTCCTTTCAAATTGTCAATAGCATGATCCTGGTGTGGCTGGGATACTTGATCTGTTGGTTGCACGGGGACCCATTGAGGATCTGAATGGATTGCTGGAAAAGCGAACCAGTAGTGGAACTTGTAATTTTTGAGGTCTGCAAAAGATACAATCACAAAACTGCAGAGTAAGGAGGGACATGAAAGTATTGTTCCATCGTGAATGGCATCCCATATCTTGGAGTTTTCATTAGTATATATATATATATCTCTCTCTCTCTTTCTCTCTCTGAGGCAACGGGTTATGGTGTTTCCTACCATTTGACCAGCTTGATGGAGCAGTTGGGATCTGTCCATGTTTCGATATTCCTCAACGGTATTGACATTTTTGATCATGCCATCCGCCCTGTAATAACCAGCTGGGGCTCTAGGTCACTGTTAGAAGGACTTTTAGAAACATTTCGTTTTATCTTACTCGCTGCCGGTGAGGGCGTTCCCATGAATTTGGATTCGACATGACGCAGCCTCGGGATCAGAAGGACGGATCTCATATAGTCCCAGAACAGGCCGGGCGGAGTCATCTAGTTTGTCATGATTGATCTTATGGGAGGCCAGTGAAGTATAGAAAGGTAATTCGATGTCGGAAGCAAACGGTGTGTACTGCATCTTGGAGGAATAGGAGAGAAAGAGAAGAAATGATCAAGTCCCGAATAAAACAGACTTGGAACGTTGGATGTAACAGTTAAGGGAAGAGGGTGTAAAGTGTCAAAAGGTGTAGAAGGTGTTAAAAGGAGGTGAAAGGGTCTGATGTCACGAGAGGGCGGGGGTGCTTATCGATAATATCCTCACTTCTAAGCTCTCCAGGGCTCTCTCCAAGGCTTTGTTTTCTTATAAAGTCCACGGGTTATTTCTTGGCTTATTCCAGAATCTTTATGCATGAGATTTATTTACTATATATATATATACTACCCTATATACCTAGGTAAATCTTCGATCCTCAGGCTATAATCACGTCTTGTGAGATCAACAGCTGACTTGTGTTGAACACGCGATCCATGGACACAAACATCACAAGCCTCGAGAGGTATGTATACTGTACATTAACTACTCTGTACTAGTAGGATACTTACAGAATATGATACATACATGTACTATTTCTTCTGCCCAACCTTGGAATTCCAACATTCCCTATTAGGCCGATAAGATCGGGCAGATAAGATCGCGTCGCGACTTTCACTTTGCTCTGCCCCACTGCTTCTTTTCTTTTCCTCCTTTCCACTCTACAAGTATTCAACACCTGAAAATGCTCATCGGTTTATGTGGAGGTCAGCAGATAATTGTCGCAAATCGATCTCTTACCCCACATGGGATAAACTAATGAGGATATACGTCAAAAGGCATTTGCGCTGGCAAACATGCGATTGCTCAGTACCTGATTCAGCAAGGGTTTCAGCTTCTTGAACTCGCCGGCAAATCCCAATCCCACATCACCGAGTCGGGGGATGACCTGCGACTGCAAGCGTCGGAGATCAGAAAGAAAGAGGACCCCAAGTCGCCAGAGCTTACATTTCAAGATGCCGACTCTCTACTCGACTTTGCGACAAAAAGATGGCAAGAACGCTGGGTTACCACAGACATTGCAGATGCCACTACCCTAGATCGATTCCTCTTGCGCCCCTTTTTCCTCCTTGTGAGCGTCGATGCACCAGTTAGCCTCCGATGGAAACGATTTGCCGACAGGTTCGTGATAATACGCGTGACTGAAGCCCGATAGCTGACTTTTTTCTTTATAAAAAAAAAGATGTTGGAGAAGACAACTGGATCCGCCTGAACTTGAAAAGTTCGTAATGTGGAACGACCATAATCTTTACGATAAGGATATTGGACGTGTATACTTGACCGACAAAGCCCAGTTGCGCCTATTCAACTCCTCATCGTCCCTCGAAGAGCTACACTCGGCTTTGCAAACCCTCGACCTGGCAGACGAACAACGGTTGAGGCCAAACTGGGACCAGTATTTCATGCAGCTGGCCTCTCTTGCCGCCCAGAGAAGCAACTGCATGAAAAGAAGAGTGGGATGTGTGCTCGTTCGAGAGAGTCGTGTCATCAGCACTGGATATAATGGGACACCACGGCATCTCCAGAACTGCAACCAAGGTGGATGTACGATGCAGGCCAGACCCGAATAACCCCAATGGCCCTATTGTTCATTTGACTCACTAGAAATCATTATAGGTCCACGGTGTAATCGCGGGGATGGGGGAGGAGTCGGTCTCTCAACCTGTCTTTGCCTTCACGCCGAAGAAAACGCATTACTGGAAGCAGGCCGAGAGCGGATTCGAGAGGGGACGATCCTCTATTGTGATACGCAAGTCTATTTCATTCTTCAATAAACTGCGCCAGAGACAAAATCTTACTGTGGATTGCAGATGCCCTTGCTTGACATGCACTGTCAAGATAGCCCAAGTTGGAATTTCGGAGGTCGTTTACTCTCAAGGGTACAACATGGATAACGACGTAAGTCAATGCCTGTCCGTTTCAAGTGTTCCAATTAATTTAATTTGAATATACAGAGTGCGGCTATCTTACAAAAAGCAGGCGTGCGGCTACGGCAATTCCACCCGGTAGCTAATTTTCCTTCTACACCCTCGTCTCTTTTATACATAACTGACTATAAGCCTACAGCCTACGAATGGACTCATCTATCTTCAGGCATCTGAAAAACTAGTCGCAACCGAAAGCCAATAACCTACAGTACGAATCGTACTGTACAATAGTGAAGGCCCGAGGCAACCCAACCTTAGTGAATTAGATTAATAGAGTAATACCTTCTAAATCGCTTTATCTTTAACTATTATCGTATAATAGCCGCTAACACCCCCCTTTAACTAATTCCGTTTATACTAACTAGGCGAGTTATATTATAAAGAGTGTCACGATGTAGACATATCACGATCTAGACATGATAACTGTAGTTCTACCGTCACTGACCGCCTGCCGGATTAGTGAACCTAGAGGATTATGTTTGTATGGTTTGTTGTAAGGCCCTATAAAGGACCTTATACTAACTAATCCCTTTCTTCTTTCTCTTCTACTCTCTATACTTAGTATTCTAGTTAAAATGCACTCTTTTATTAAAAGAACTAGCTAGTAATATAATACTAAGTACCACTTTTATTTCTAATAAAGTAGTACGACCGTATAGATTATTATTATAATTAGTCTTAGTCCCGCTTTATCTCTACTTTCGTTCCTTAGTATTATATAGCTAAGACTAAACTTAATCTCGAATTTAATCTTTATTAATTAAAATAGTCGGACCGAAACGAAACCTACCTATAAATTATAGTAAGTAATCTATTATTACTATATTAGATAAAGGAGATAGTATTAAGTAGGAAGTAACTACTTATAATCCTAAAACCTTAAGATTAGTTAATACTAGTAAACTTAATAAAGATAATAATATTAGAGAAGGTTCTTTTATATACGAACGACTATATAAGACTCTAAATAAAGAGCGATTCTATAAACTTATATCTAAGTATAATAAATTAGAAGAAAGAAATTAAGATCCTAAAGATAAAGTAACTATCCTTTAAGCTAATAAAGTTAAAACTAAAATCCTAATTATATAATTTATTTAAAAGAAAGAGATAGATATTTATTATAATTATATAGTTTATAAGAGAGATTATTTTATATTCTAGCTTTTAAGTCTATAGTAGAATTTAAACCAGAATAGCTCTAACGTACTAATTATAGAGGCTATTATTACTTATAAATCTACTAAGATATCTAATATTTTAATATTTAGTAATAGTAAAGAAGTTTATTTTAAAAGATAGGAAACTATTTTTTAATAAAAGCTTAAAGTAAATATAAATTATTATTCATTATTAGTTTATTATAAGCTCTATATATAAAGATATTATAAAGGAAAAGCTTAGTTATATATTATATCTTACCTAAATACTAAATCGAGTGCCTTATATACTAATACTAATAATATAATCGCGTATCTAAAAACCGTTTTTATAAACCTAAATTATTATATTAAAGCCTATATTATATATTATAAATTAAAGATAAAACGGAAGGATAGCTTTACTAATTTCCTTACTAAATTTATATAGCTTATTAAAGACGTTATTATTATCGAAAAAAACCGAAAGTATAATCTACACTCGAAACTTCTATATCTATTTTAAAGCTAATTAATATAGGCTATTAATTAGGATTCTATTTCTTTTAAAACTTTTATTTAGAACTATTAAAGTATATCTTATAAAATTAATTTATAATAAGAGTTAAAGAATACCTCTTACTCCTATTCTACTATTCTAGCTAGAAGTAGTAGTAGTATTAGAATAACTAGTAGTTAATATACTTTTTATATCAAATATAAAAGAAATACTATTTTTATTAGTCTATCCGCTACTAAACGAGAGACTTTTATAAGGGAGGGTCGATACTTTAACTATAAAGAATAAAAATATATAACTTATAAATAGACTACGATATTACCCGTCTATAGTAGGCGGTAGGCAATTTGGATTTTTGAGTGCCCGTCTATAACGCCTATCGCCTATAGGCATACCTATCGCGGGTATACCTACTATACCTACTATTATATAAAGTCACCTAAAATAGACGTATAACTCGCTAACTTAGTAGAATAAATAACTATTATTTACGGCTATTTTGCTTACTCTATATAAAAGCTTAGTTTTAATCTACTATATCTATAAATTTTATTAAAATATCTTAGTATATAAAAAATTATAATATGAGAAAGGCTACGGACACGCGAAAAGGCTACCGACACGTTAGCCGCTAGGCCACTTCTAGTTTATCCATCGCTAGCCGTAGTTTTTAACTAGCTTGTGTAATTTTGTATGGTATCCCTATAGTATTCTAAACGCTTATCACCTGATTTTTAACCTCCCATTTCGCCCCTAAAAAGCGAGATAAATTGGTCGGGGAAATTTAATCTATACGAATTAGCTCTCTATATTTAATATACCGTTTTCAGATCCTCTAAAACTATATTTTTAGTGATATATAAATTGGGGATTGATATTCGTACCCCCCCCCTATGGATAAACGTACCCCCCCTGCCTGCAAAATCAGGTGCATGCTCCTACCGCCTTCCCGATCTGGTGCGACACTAAATTCTGCCATATATTTCTGCCATTACAGAGTTTTCTGCCATATATTCTGCCACCACCATATAATTCTGGTTTATATAGTAAAAAACACTGCATTTTAATGAGAAAAAAATCGTACATTCTGCCTGATTCCTGCCTTGAAAATCTACATATTGATCATCCTGCTTCTTATGCAACCCCCCGCGCGCGTTTTCCTCCCCGTCCCCGTCCTCGACCACGTCCCCGTTCTTCGGTGCTTATAGGTTCAGCACTAGCAGTTTCACCACTACTAGTTCCACGTAGACTACGACATCGCCCGTCCATGGGCCCCTAGGAGGGGCCCAAGGCCCATCCACGGTGGGCCTTGGGCCTTTTGACTCTTGGGGGGCCCGTCCAAAAGGCCTAAGGCCTATGGGCACGCCTATGATGGGCATTGCCTAAGTGCCCATGCTTGCATAAAGTCACCTAAAATGGACGTATAACCTACTGATATAGCAGAATAAATTACTATTATTTATATGCGTTTTGCTAACTCGATAGAAAATGTCATTATTAGTATATAAAATATTTGAATCTAATCAAAATATTTTGATATTTAATAAATGGCTATCCTAAATATACGAGTAAGATAAAAAAAACCCTTCTAATACTTGTGATTAGTTGGTATTTTTATAAATCTGTTAAATCATCCTATTATAGCTAGAATATATATTTGAGATATATAGTAACTCTACTAGTTAGTTTATATAAAATAGTAATTAGAGTAAGATTTTATATCTCGCGATTAATACGGAATCTATGATTATAATTCAAATTTCTATTAATATTAGTCGTATTTTATAAACTTATATCGCCTGAATTACTATATTATATTACTTAAAGGTCGAGTTTTAGTTCTATAATATCAAAATATTTAGATTCTCTAAGTTAGATAGGCGCTTAGACACTATCTATAGATAATATACTATCCTAGCTAATTAGCGCGTAGTATTATAGTAAGTCCACACCTAAATTATAATATATCGTATTTAGATAATTACCCTTTACTACGGTCGTAAGTTCTTTTAGGTAGGTGAATAAGATCACACTCTCCCTAAATTTGTATATATATAGATTACCCCTTATATTTATATCGATCGTTATTAACTATATCACACCCTAGTGCCTATATCGCTAGGCCTTCGTCGATTCCTACGAGCTCTTAACTAGACGTCTCTTACGCTGAAAACCCCTTCGATCCTAACCTTAATCCTAATCTTTTTAATAGCTAATAGATAGCTATATTAGTAGTAGAGTCTAACTTTATCGACCTCGCTATTAAACACTCCTCCCTCTAACGTATCGGCCCCGATCGGAGGAAGTATTTCGTTCTATTTAATATAATAAACGACGCGTCGAAGGCGAAATTTATTAAATAGTGGCGTATAACCGTACGTGGTAGCGAACTAGAAATATAACGTAAGATACGATAGGATATAAAATATATCTTAGATATCTAGGAAAGCTTCTAGTAAGTAGCACACTATACTATAGGCGAACCTCTAGTTATATACCGCTCTTACGGAGTGTCACTTCCGTATTTATATTTAAAATAGAGCGGTACTAATATAATAAAGCGCTATTTAAGTACGGGTAAATACTAGAAGGCTAGCCGAAACCTAGCGATATAATAATTAATAATATAGACTATATAATATATAGTAGTATATATTCTATATTAATATTCTTTATATTATAACTAATATTAATATACACTAGATACTTAAGTCTTCTTACGCGACGAAATTTTTATAAGATAAATAGGAAAGAGAGTAGATTAAATATATCACTACACTTAACCTACCTTTCTATAGTCTCGCTAGGAAGTAGCTTACTTCCCTTATTAGGATAGCTTAGAGGGCTCTAACTAAACCTACCTTACTCTATCCTTATACTACTTAGCGCCGGCTAAAGAAAATAGTATATAAGGAGTATTATACTATTCTCTCTACCCTCCTACTAAATATAAAGCTCTCTATCGCTCTTAACTACTAGATATCACTATTATAATAAGTATTTATAGTAATTATAGGGTATTTTATTAATTAGGACTAGAATTATCGTGAGCTTCTACTTAGCTTCGAACCACTTAATAGGCTATATTCTAGTATAAATCTAAGCGAAGTGCTTATAGAGATCTTTAAAAAGCACGATATCTCCGATCGTATTCTCACGATAATATCGGATAATATATTAAATAATACGACCTAAATATAGTTAATTTAAGACTCTATCGACTCTCTAAATCTACTAAGTAGTCTAGTGGTTATTCGGATCCTATATCTCGCTTATATTATCTAGCTAAGTCTTCGCGAACTACTTAGATCTATAAAGGCCGATCCCTAGAATAATATAACGGATATAAATTTCTCTAATATCGAAGCCTAAGCTTAGTCGCTTTATATATCCGAGAGCTAGTAAGTGATTATATAAACTCTTATAAAAGTAAGGGTCTTCCTTTCTTCTTATTTTAAATAATTCTAATATATTTTATAGATTCGTAGGCTTACTATATTTATTACCGCTAGCCCCTAGCGCCGCGATAATTTCTTCCGTTTA